CCTCCAGGCTTGCCTGCAGCCAGATTTTATGGAGGCGTTTTCTTAATTGAAGTTCCCTCTTCAGGTGACTCTGGCTGTGTCAAGTTGACACAAAACTATCCAGTACTGTTTCTAGCCCTGGTGTTTGACTAGTGTTCTGACTTTTGGTTAGAGTCTCACCGTCTTCTTGTCTATAAAAGGAGATTAGACACTTCTTTCTGTAGGACGCATTTCCATTATCCTAACCTTGGGCAGGCGAGCACAGTATGAAGTCCGAGGATGTCTACTCCATGTCACTGCTTTCTTCTCAGGAAGAAGGAATCCCTGGGTTTGGATTTTTGTTCTTAAGCTGTACAGAAAACTGTGGAAGACTTACTTTAAAAAGAGATTGTGAGACATTTAGTGAACTCTTTCAGTACCTCAACTCTAAACAACCGGCAATTCTTTGGATGACCTTTCGCTCAAATATTTGAATGCTTAATGTGTGTCAAAAAGCACTATTAATAGGTCACCTAAACTTTGCTTTATTCATTTCCTGTTAGCATCATCCTCAAGTAATGGTTCTATAAAGACTACCTGAAAAAAATGAACAAAGAATTGTCACACACAGGCAGATAATAGAAAACATTGACTTTCCTTAATGGGCTTAATACTTGGACCCGAATGAAGTAAGTTTTCTAAGAATCCCTGTGATGTGATGCAGTGTTTTCTATTGACATGAGTTATGTATGTTCCTCCAGGACTGCTTTGGATGATTCATTAGAGAATCTGATCTTAGAGGGGTAAAGCACTTGCTGAACAAGATTAAATGTAACAAGTTACCTTGTTTCCTTAATGTATTTTGCTACAGTGTGGAGTTGGCTCATTCACAGGACTGCCATTTTCATTTTGTTGGACATATTTTGCTTCTTTACAGAAGTAGCTGTCAGTTTTCAGAGCTGGAGATTTCATTTCCTGTTTTCTCCTTCGGCCTCTTGAGCATCCTTTCCCTGGTAGCTGAAGTTCTACCTGTGAGAAAACCGTGGTAGTTTAGAAAGAAGATAGGTGAGCTGCATCTTGTCCTGGCTTTATAAGTTGTTTAGCTTGTATTTTGGGGAGAATTTTTTCTTAGCAGATAATCCTACACATGCCTACCACTGAATAGGTCTCACTGGCAGCTGAAACAGCTGTCTTCTCAAGTTAGACTTCAAGACTTTGACTGTGCATCATGTATTACTCCCCATAAAATTTGTTTGCTTCCAGAAATTGATTCATTTTTCTTTTTTTTTCTTTTTCTTTTTTTTAAAGATTTATTACATATACAGTGTTCTGCCTGCATGTGTCTTCAGGCCAGAAGAGGGCACTAGATCTCATTACAGATGGTTGTGAGCCACCATGTGGTTGCTGGGAATTGAACTCAAGACCTCTGGAAGAACAGTCAGTGCTCTTAACCGCTGAGCTATCTCTCCAGCCCTGATTCATTTTTCTTATTGGTAGATTTGAAGCAATTTTTTCTTTTAAATAAATTTGGAAAATCATGAGGTTTAGAGCTTGACTACTTGTAATTATGATTAGCAGTAATTAAGAGTTCTTTGGCCTCTAATTGTGCTGCTCTTACTTTGTAGAACTCAAGCCAACTTGGTTTAGGTTTTCAGTGTTGTCTGTGGATCTAGGTGGAAGAGGAAATAGGGATAGTGTGAGTGTGTGTGCGTGCGTGTGTGTGTGTGTGTGTGTGTGTGTGTGTGTGTGTATAACTTCTGTCTCACAGATGGTGTCAGACTTGAGAGATAAGATCTACATAGAAGTAGTCATGATATATAGAATGAATATATAGGCCAATGGAGGGCATTTGGGTTTTAAGCTCTTGAAAGATTAGAGGGTAAAATTTGATCTGAACTTGAAGAGATGGAAATAGGCTTTGTTTTTTTTTTAACAAATACAAGAAAGCAAAGCATTTTTACTTGAGCAAAACCACAGAGGTGGCATAGTGTTATCTTGGAGACAAAGATCCAAAATTGTTTCACTAAATTTGTATTAAGATACTAATGGGGAATAGTATGAGAAGCCGAGCACAGAGACAGATGGCTGTGTGTGCAGTAATGATCGCGCGCACCAGGAGCCAAGACGCAGCAAGCCAGAAGCAGAGCTGAGGTCTGCCACTTTGGATTTCTTTCCAGTTGGACCTATATTCTCTTTAAGTGAGCAACTGAACCAAGTTGAGTTTCTAGGCTCGTTTTATTATTTCTAGCTCTACCATTGAAGATGGGAGAGGACAACGGCCATATTTGGAGATCAGAGAGAGCAAATGGAGATTACTTTGTAAACACATTTGTCTAGCGTTAATTTGTTTCACTGTTTTTATTCAGTTCATATATACTTAGAGAAGCTGAAGCCTGTCTATCAGTTCCTTCCAGAAATGATTAGCCAATTCAAGTCTTAATAAAGGTGAAAATACCAGAACCTGCAAGCCTGCATCAGTGCCATCCACACAGCCAGCCTGCCGTTGGACCTGGCTGCCTTTCTTTCCCTGCTGCCTGGACTCTGGTGTGGGAAGGACAGCTCCTCCTCCATTGTGGTGGTGAGCAGGGCTTAATCAAGCTGAATGTAGATAATTTACTTCAGTTGTAGAATAGTACATTGCTGTGTAAATCTCACAGTAAGGACTAGAGATAGGGCTTTCTATTACTGATGAAGGACTTGCCTTGTTTTGCTGGAGGTCCTGCGGTTGACTTCTGACAGCACAAACAGTAAGAACAGGGCCTGAGTAGTTACCACCTCTGTCCTTCTGCAGTAGCTTCTGACTGATGGTAAGGGTGAGTTCTGCATCATTTTTGTTTTGGGGAAGGGAAAATCTCACCGTTACTTGTCCTGCTAAGGTTGGGCATCCATTCTCTTTTACTTACGTTTTCTCCTAGGTTGGTTTCTAGGAGAAAATAATGGCCACATTCTGAGTAAAAATATGGTTAGGTCATTGAGAAAAAAAGAATCTTTTAATCTTAGTCATCAACATGGACAAACAGTAGATACCTGTATGATGTTCCCAGTTTAATTGATATAGTAGGCGTGTCACAGGAGGGTGGGTTTTATATTTAGGGAATGCCTTGGATAGTGAAAAGAACAGCCACTGCTTGCTGAATCCTTCTGTGCTTTTGGTACTTCCTGTGTAGTCTGTTGAGTGCAGTGTGTACCCAGCATTATCAACATTTTCCTCATCAGCTTGTAGTACAACCAGTATTGGTACCCAGGTACAAATATTTTGGGGTTTCAAAATTAAGTTTTATTAGACTACTAAGCTAATAAGATAAATATGTAGTAAATACTCTCCTTGCTCTGCTGTGATATTGAAATTGTTAAAGTCCAGGAAAAATACAAAAGGAAGCATGATTAATTTCCTGTAGAGAAGGACTATTTTAAGAAAGATTACTGTAGAAAGACAACACCTTATCAAGCTCTTGGTGACACTCTTAATTCAGAGTTGATTATGGTAGAAGATGGGGGTGACATCTGGAAGTGGAGTTACATATATGTATTTAACTATCACTTGCTTGTTCATTCTTGGATTTTTGTGTCTTGATCTCTTGGGTCCCGAGTCTTTGAATATTTAAAGATGCATATTTCTTGAATCTCATTTTTTTCTAAGAGTTATGAAATTACCCCTACACTGTATCTCAATTAATAACTATATTAGTCTATGAATAATTTCTAGACTTCCTTTTTTTCACTTAACATTTCCAGCTTCATAGTTTCTTCCAGGCAACATGGTTTTGATGACAGACTTCCCATCTCTTCTCCTAGGTGTTCTTCACTCCCATGATTTAGTGGAGTGCATGCTCTGGAAGCTTCTTGACACAAAAACTTCTGAAACAAAAACTATGTGTTCAGCCCCATGGAAACATGGAGGACTCTAGGCGTGTCTTCAGTGAAATGCCTTGTAGAACTTTCGAGTTACAGTTTGACTTGTCTTCTGGCTTCCAGCTTTGTTAAAGACTAATGCCATTCAGATTCTGAAAAGTAGTTAAACCTCTCTCTCTCTCTACAAAAACGAAAAAGGCCTGGGTTTAGATTTTGCTTTGACTGTCTTTTTCCTTCTTAAACATTATTTTATTTAAGTCTCTTGCTTTTTAATTCACAGTAATATACTTTGGCATGGCTACCTGTTTTTATTCTAAATACTGATTAACTACAGTTTGGGAAAATATGCTGGATTCCCTCTTTCCTCGGTTCTGCAGTTCTGTTTAGTTGGATAACAGAGCACCTGAGCTGATCTTATTTTATTATCTGCCTTCCTTGAATTTGGGTCCTGCTTCAGGCCGTGTGGAGTGGTGGTGAAGGACTTCAGAGCCGGAAGGGCTGTTGGAATCCTCTTGCGGCTAATTCCTAGCTATAGCCATGTTCTTAGCCCATCTGCTTTTACCTTTAAGGTATTAACACTAAATTCAAAGTATGCAGGGGTAAATTGTTATATTCAAAGTATCTAGATAATTTTCTCATACATAGTAAATGTTATTACTAATTGACAATAGTATTACCTTAAATGAAGAACCCATCTTTCTATATGAATTTTTAATTTCTATAGTTTTTTTTAAAGTGTGTGTGTGTGTGTGTGAGTGTGATGTGTATTTGTGTCACATATGCCACGGTGTGTGTAGAGGTCCGAGGACAGCTCTATGGAATCCATTCTCTCCTTAGACCTTTCCTTAACCTGCTGAGTCATCTCGCCAACCCTAATGCCTTTCTTCCATTGCTCTGTTACTGTTTTCTAGCCTCTCATTCTTGTTTCATGGATGCAGAAGCTTCTTGAATTATAACTGGATAATTGAGAACAGTTACAGGGGCGGGTGTGTGTGTCTTTAACATATAAGATGGAAATCAAAGAAAGTAACCAGTAACAACCCACATGAATCAAAAATCTTACAGATTTAGGAAGGATCAGGGTTTGAACTGTTCCAAGTTTCCTTCTGTTTTCTGGATTGACATTTGTATGTTAAAGACCTTTTCTAAATTCATGATTATATTCAAATTCTATTTGACCCTAGTATATATAGGTATATTTTGTTCTTCGTATATCACACCAAGGAGTGCTTGGGGCTGTTTAGAAATTTTGCCCATTTTAAAAACTACAGTATTTGTCTTTATTCATATTGATTCTTAAGAGTTCTTTGTATGGTAATGATACTGTCCATTTGCTTTTGATAGATAATATAAATATTGTTTGTCTGCCATCTTTTGAATTTGCTTCCGTGTATTTTTTTCCTTTCCTTTGTTGTATTGTGCCTAATAGAAAGGTCCCTTAAAAACCCCCATTGACTGTTTTATGTCGAAGACAGGACTTACAGTAGACCAAGAACCCTTGATGTCTGTTTTCTCTTATACATAGAATATATATATATATATATACTGTGAAGAGAGTTCTTTTTCAGTGTGAGATTTGATTTGTCTTTATTCCGGTCCTCTTCTTTTTTCGCTGTCCTAGTTGCTGTGACAAACACTGACCGAAAGCAACTTGGGGAGGAAAGGGTTTATTTCAGCTCACAGTTACAGTCCATCATTGAAGGGAAGTCAGGGCAGAAACTCAGAAGCAGGAGCTTGAGTAGAAACCTCAGAGGAATGCTGCTTCCGGGCTTGTTCAGCTACCTTTCTTATACCTACCCAATGATAGTACCACCTACAGTTGAGAGAAGACAGTTCCTGTAAGAACCTGCTCATCCTAGAAGTAGAATGTCTCTTTCCTCACTGGTTACTCATCTTTCAGAGTGCTTCTCCTCCTTCTCTCAGCACATCATCTACCCAAGGGCCTCCTGGAGGCCTCCTTTCCTGTACTTGTCTTGTTTCTGTCTTCTCAATTCAGCTTACATCTGAGTCTCCATGAACATTCCAGACTGTGTCTTTGTGAGGTAACTAACATTCTCCCATTTAGTATGTGAGTTTGATTTTAATAGAGCACTTCAGGCAGATATTAGTCCACATTGAATATTGCATGAAAGAATCTAGCATTTAAGTATCAAAAGTGACTGTGAATGCCTCTCTTGGTTTGTTGCTCTTTTTAATTTACATTAGGACTTAGTATGGTGTGGCAGAAAGGCCACTTCTTCGTCAGTTCTTCATTACTGTAATGAAGTACCAAGCATGACTGATTGCATAAGGCTGCTGTAGCTCACATTTTTGGAGGCTCGTGGACTTGGCACTTGGCATCAGTTTGGCACTGATAAAGGCCTCATGATGATTGGTACCACAGTGGTGGCTGTGGGATGAGGATGAGGATATGGAGGTGAGGTATTACTTTGCCAGACAAGAAGCCAGGGAACCATTAAAGGCTTAGGCTGAGCCTTGCATGACAACTTAGTGTTGGAAAAATTACTCTGGAATCTCATCAGAACTGCTTTAATATTTTGGAGCACATGTCCTCAGTGAACTAACAACCACCTACTGGAACCACATTCTGAAGGATTGCACTTCAAATGAGTTGGTGATGAAGCTTTAAACATAGGAACTCTGGAGGTGCAAACGCAAACTGTCTCCAAGTGTAGCAAGTGGTAATGTAAACCTCAGGAGTCTTAGATGATAGACCTGCTTTGTTGTTCTCAAAGCTTTTGCATTCTTTATCAGTGTGTGTTTAAATTACTGGATTGGGTAGAATAGTGCTAAGGGATTGCCATAGTTACTTTTCTGTTGATGTGAAGAGATGCCATGACCATAGAAGAGTTTATTGGGGCTTACAGTTTCAGAGGGTGAGTCCATTGACCATGGTGGGGGAGCATGACAGTGGCAGGCAGGCATGGCCCTGGAGCAGTAGCCAAGACCTTACATGCTGAGGCGACAACCTCAAGGAAGAGAGAGAGAATTTTAAAAAAATTTTAAAAATCAGAAACGAGAATAACCTAAGTGATAGGAATCCATAAGGGAATTTATGATGGAGCGCACTCTTCTCATTTGACTTGATTATTAGGATAATGGGACGATCTTCATACACTGATTTAAATCACAGTGATCTCTAGTCACATCCACCACCAATTGAGTTGTACGTAAGTACTACAATGCATTTCTTAAGTCTAATATTGAAGTTTTAAATACCTTTGGTCTTCCATGACTTTTAAAAACTATAGTTTGATATTCAGAATAGTTAAATAACTTGGGTTTCTTTTATGTTTTAGGATTTAAGTGCCCGGTATGCTCAAAATTTGTACCTTCAGATGAAATGGATTTACATCTTGTGATGTGTTTAACAAAGCCAAGAATAACCTATAATGGTAAGTTCAATGCCTTAAATAACATTGTAATTTAGCATTGCCATACATAATGTGAATTTCATGTTTGAAGCAAAATTTAAGGGCAGGAAAGAATTCAAATTCTCATCTCAAGATACATTTGTATGTTAATTAGGTTATATCTATTAGTAAGTGAAGATAAATACATTTTCCAAGATAATTTAATGGCAAGAGTGGCATTGTCTTTTATTTTATTTTTTTTTAAACTCTTAGTATCTGGCTTGCTAACAAAGAATTATATCTTTTCCACAGTTAGTTGTTTTTTGTAATAAGACATATTAGATATCCTGGAAAATTTCACTGGGACACAGGAGAGAGTGGAAATGAAAAGGCAAATGAAGTGACCATAAAAATAGGATGGCCAAGACTCCCTCTCCTCCCCACTCCAGAAGAGAACTGCTGTGCTGAATACAGTTGTTTAAGTTAGGCCTAAAGAAAAAGGAATGTTTTCATGACTTAGTTCAGAAAAAAAAAAAAAAAAAAAGTTTAAGATATGTAATAAGTGAAGGACCGGAGAGATTTCTCAGTGGTTAAGAACACTTGTTGCTCTTCCAGAGGGCCCAGGTTCAATTCGCAGCACCCCCATGGTAGCTCACAACTCTAGTTCCAGGGGCCCTGACACCCTCTTCTAGCCTCTATGGGCACTGCACACATGTGGTGCACAGACATACATACAGGTAAAGCACCTGTCCACGTAAACATAAATAACTCTTAAAGGAATGTCTAACAAATGATACATTGTTAACAGTAGGTATAGGGTTTGTTCATAAATATAATAGACAACTGTGGGAGGAAATCAGTGTAGGAAGTGGAGACTGAAACTTTGTCTGTCTCTTTGAACCCACAGATAAATTTCACTTCTGTGCTACCTGGCAGTTGCTTTAGGTCTGGCATGTAGGACCAGAGTATTCTCTCCTGACCCTAGGAATACAGTCCTTAGTGTCATCACAGAACAAGTAGAATAAATTCAGGAATTAAAAATCAAATTGTTCCTCCTGGCTAATAGAAAAACAAACTTGATTTGGATTTTGTGGTGTTTGCCTATAAATAACTTTAGCATAGCCGAGTCTGAACTCAGACCTGGGCTGTTCACATAGTAAGACCCTGTCTCTCTTGATGCAAAGAAGTAAGTAAATAGAGGCACTTGGTGCATACCTAAATGCCATTAAGAAAAAAAAAGAAGAAATGACATCTGAGGCTTAGATATAAAAAGTGCATGGTGAGAATACGAGTAATTAGTAAAATCTGTTGAAAGACTAAGTTTAGCAACTATCTTTTTGGGTACTTATGTATAAGATACTGTGCTATGATACAGTGAATAAGACAGAGCTGATGAGATGAATATATTCTTCAGATAACTTTGTCAAGTGTTTTAGGAAGGTAGTGTCTCAAGCCTTAGTATCACAGTGGTGACAAGCATTTTTTTTCATTTACCAGTGTATAAGTGGAAAGAACTTCTAGCAGTTACTTTGAATAGTAAATGTATTGGTTATGTCCTAACTTTTTTGTCTTATGAAACTGTCTTCTTTACTTAATCTAGTTGAAATTCATTTACTAAAAATTCTCATTCAAGTTCAGAATCTGAGGCTAAACATTGATAGTTTTGTTTCTGTACTTGCTCCATTGTTCTGCCATTATACTTCATAATTATGTTTAAAATATTTATATATATCCATAAAATAACTGTCCTTTATGGAATGTTCTGTAGATATCGATTAAGTCCATTTGAGTCATGACATCAGTTAAGTCCTTTATTTCTCTGTTAAGTTTCAATTTGGGAGATCTGTCCAGTGATGAAAGTGGGGTATTGAAGTCTCCCACTATTAATGTGTGGGGTTTTATATGTGGTTTAAGCTTTAGTAATGTTTCTTTTACATATGTTGGTGCCCTTGTGTTTGGGGCATAAATGTTCAGAATTGAAGCTTCATCTTGGTGGATCTTTTCTGTGATGTTTATGTAATACCCTTCTTGATCTCTTTTGATTGATTTTAGTTTGAAGTCTATTTTGCTGGATATCAGGATGGCTACACCCGCTTGTTTCTTAAGACCATTTGATTGGAAAGTCTTTTCCCAGCCTTTTATTCTTAGGTAGTGTCTATCTTTGAATTTGTGTTGTGTTTCTTGTATGCAGCAGAAAGATGGGTCCTGCTTTCGCATCCATTCTGTAAGCCTATGTCTTTTTTTTTTTTTTTTGGTTTTTCGAGACAGGGTTTCTCTGTGTAGCTTTGTGCCTTTCCTGGAACTCACTTGGTAGCCCAGGCTGGCCTCGAACTCACAGAGATCCGCCTGGCTCTGCCTCTTGAGTGCTGGGATTAAAGGCGTGCACCACCACCGCCCGGCAAGCCTATGTCTTTTTATAGGTGAATTAAGTCCATTGATATTAAGGGATAATAATGACCAGTGATTGTTCATTTCTGTTATTTTTTGGTGGTAGTGTGTGTGTACTTCTCTTCTTTGGGGTTTACAGCTGTGGCTTTATTTATTGCCTGTGTTTTCGAGGGTGTATCTGACTTCCTTAGGTTGGAATTTTCCTTCTAGTGCTTTCTGTAGGGCTGGGTTTGTGGATAAGTATTGCTTAAATCTGGCTTTGTCTTGGAATGTCTTGTTCACTCCATCTATGATGATTGAAAGTTTTGCTGGGTATATTAGTCTAGGCTAGTGTCTGCATTACATCTGCCCAGGTCCTTCTGGCTTTCAAAGTTTCCATGAGTTGGTATTCTCCTTCTCCTATCCCTATTATTTGTAGGTTTGGTCTTTTCGTGGTGTTCCAAATTTCTTGGACATTTTGGTTCAAGACTTTGTTGGCTCTAGTGTTTTCTTTGACTGATGAATTTATTTCTTTTACAGTACCTTCAACGCCAGAGATCCTCTCTTCCATCGCTTGCATTCTGTTGGTTATACTTGCATCTGAAGTTCCCCATCGTTTACTCAGATTTTCTATTTCCAGAATTCCCTCTGTTTGTGTCTTTTTCATTTTTTCTATTTCCCTTTTCAGGTCATGGACTTTTTCCTTCATTTGTTTCATTGCTTTTTCATGATTTTCTTTCAGTGCTTTATTGTTTTCTTCCAGGACTTTATTGTTTTCTTCTACTTTGTCCTTTCCTCTAGTTTTTTATAGCGTTCTTCCCATTTTTTTTTTTTGTCTTTTCCTCTACATAAGCCTCTACCTTCTTCATGATGTTATTCATAAGGCTGTTTTCTTCTGCTTCTTCCAATTTTTGATGTGTCTAGATGTTTGATCAGGTCTAGATGTTGGAGGAGGGCTAGGTTCTAGTGATGCTGTATTGCTCTTCATTTTGTTGTATGTACTTCTGCCTTGATGTCTGCCCATCTCCTTGTGTTTCGTTCTTGGTCTTATCAGCGTACTTGGTCCAGACAGAGCTGACAGATTCAGGAAGTCTCTCTCTCTTGTCCAGATGGGAGCTCTCTTGTCCAAATGGGAACTCCGGGGCAGGATGGGAGCTCTTGTCCAGACAGGGAAGTCCGGAGCAGGATGGGAGCTCTTGTCCAGATAGGAAGTCCAGGACAGGATGGGGGCTCTTGTCCAGAAGGGAAGTCCGGGGCAGGATGGGAGCTGGAGGCTGGTCTCGTCTCAGGAAGTGGGTGGGGTCTCAGGTGGATGGGCGTGGGGGCAGGGCATGGAGATTGCAGGGTCTGCCGGGGGTCTTGGAGAAGGGGAGCCTTCCTGGTAGGGCTAGAAGGGAACCTGCCCGGTGGCCAGAACCTGGGGCCAAATTGGGCAGGTCTTCCTCAGAGTGGCTGGTGCCCAGGGATGGGATCTAGGTTGGGCCCAGACACTCACCTCTTGTCTAAAAGGGAAGTCCGGGAGCAGGATCTTTCTTTCTTTTTTCTTTTTTTTTTTTTTTTTAAATATCTAGAATACTACTAAATGTTAGGATATTTGACAGCTTTTCATTTCCTGACTTAACCGTGTTTACGTTATTAAATTTGTCTACTAGGTTGTCTCAAAGTGTAACTAAATACAGTGGCTCTTGTCTTGGTAAGTGCGAAGCCAAGGAGTACAACCCAAGGACAAAGAATGGAGAAGCCTTAGCTGGCAGCAAGTGAGGAGAGTACTAGGGTTACTACCAAAGTATTGTTCTCTTGTGGTGTTGGGGGTCTTCTGGGCAGACTGTTCAGTATTATAACGAACAGGTTTATTCTAGGTTGCCTGAATGAATGAGTCAGAGTGACTCTGTGGCCTTAGCAAGTCCTCTAAATTTTCTTAGGCTATAACTTAACTATAAAAAAACAAAACAAAGCCACTTGAAAGGCATGTTAGCAGTCTTTAAAAAATAGCAGCCTTCTCCTCAAGTGTTAAGAGTTTGCCCCTAATGCTTCCTATACTACTTAGTGGTTATTGACACCCCCCCACACTCACACTCACACTCACTCACTCACTCACTCTGCTCAGAAACAAAGTTAAAGCCATTTTGAAAAATAACTAGGCCTGAGTCTTTCTATAAACATTTACAACAAGAAGCAAAACTTCCATAAATTTTAGATAGTTTTTAATTTTAAAACTAGCCTATGGACTGTGATGACACACAGGTGAGTGAAGAAGGATCTTCGGCTGTACATCATGATCTAGGGCTTACAGAGAGGTGACACATTGGTAAAGTTCGTGTCTATCTTGGGTGTGGGGAATTCTAATTGGGTTAAAGGCAAAGCCCCAGAAAACCACTTACCACATTAATGGTGAGTCTGATTGGAGGTGGCCTCTTTAATGCCTAAGCAAAGCATCTGTTATATTATGTTATCATAAAGTTTAGAGCAAGTGAGTCAGAGACTTTGAAGCTGAGTCTTTCCGGTCACAAAGCTGTTTATAGTTTTGTGTTTGAATTCCTAAATGTTGACACCAACTCAACTAGATTGGGCCTCTAAATTATGTTAATGCTTAAATAAGAATTCTTATTCAGTATGATAATAGTCATTTGTATCTTGTGTAGACTTCCAGAAGTAGCTAAATCTGAAAATTTGAA